TTGCACAGATGTTTCACAGGTTCTCAGCTGAATCAATGAATAACAAGAGAGATTTCACTGCTAGAGTATTACACTTTTGTTTTTGGCTATGTTTGCTGATACTCAAGACCATGTGCATTAGAAATGATATCTCTCATAAATATAGTTAACAAATAGTGACAACCACTAAATAATTATACAATTTCAATGTGGCATAGTGGTCTCGCCTACAACTGACTCCATAATAACAACCCTTAGGTGCCTTCTGAAATGGCCCGAGCAAGCCACTCAATTGTATCAAACCACCCAACAAAGTCATACTTGTGGAATCATATCTTACAATACTTTGGATGCCACCATCTCTGGACATGTTCTGACCCGCCAGAAAGGCACAGTGATAGACAGTTATGAAGGAGTTGCCCTGGGAGCCCTCAAATTTGACTCTGACCCCAAGGCACTTCATTACATCAGGTCAAATACAGACTAGGAAACCTTCTTGTGATTACAAACCACTGCCGGCAGCCTCCTCAGCTGATGAATCAGTGCTAGTTGTCTTCCATGTTGAACACAGTTAGAAACAGACAATCTGCATGGTACAAGGTCCACAAACAACAATTAAATGAATCCTGTTTTGGTGGTTGTTTTGCAGACTGAATACTGGCTGAGAAATACTTCCTTATTTCTCTTCAAAATGTGCCATGGAGTCTTTTACCTGAAAATGCATAAGGGTCATGTCATCATCTGGATAAGCCTGCAGAAGTATTTAAAATCAACAAACTACTGATTTCAAGGTCAGAGTGCTGGACCTGAGCCAAGGTGACAGATCTGTCTAATGTACACAAATATTATGTCAGTATCACAGAGCAGTAGGATTCAGGTTCATTCTGCACTCTTCAGAAAAAATTTCCCTGGATTTCAGCTTGGTTTTCTTGTAAGGAGACACAGTACATTACCTACAAGTTATAGGTACAGTATTTTCCATCTTTGGTTCTTTTCATTTTCTTCCTTTCCAAATGTAAATTAATATAGAGTTTTTATACTGTTGCTTATTGGCTGTGCAAACAATTACAAAATTGCTACCTGTTGAATCAGTTTAGGACTTGACAATTTAAGTAAACAAATTGTTTATTGTGTTAGTTAAGTGAGTAAAGTACTCAATCTAGACAATGATTCGATCAATTGATACACCTTGTTAGATTTATTTAATAATCTCCTAAAGTTGGTCTATAGCCTCAGATGCAAAGTCTGAAAATCAAGAGGCCATGGGTGAAATTTAGTAGAATGTATCTAATAGCTGGGAATACCATTTAATTTCTAATTTTGTTAAATGTTCTTTTGAGACTCCATAACCTGAATTGTATTTTTAAAAAGTGACTTGATAACCACATGTTTCTGATGCAAGCAAATCATTTAAAAGGAGGAACTGTATTACTTGGAAGATAATCAGAGCTTGTGAAAAGAAAAAAAATTTTTCATTGCATGTTTCACAATTTCAAGACAAATGTATTTCATGGCTAATAAAATTTGTTTTCAGGTTATTTTTGCTATTTTTGTTTAGTTATTTTTGTCAGAAAACATGCCATTCAATTCATACAAAGCATGGTTACATAAACAAGAATGAATAAAAATCTATTTTAGTTCGTTGAGGGCCAGGACAACTACCCTGATCTTCTTTCAAAAGTTCAATGGAATTATTATTTCTATATAAGAAATAGGTTTAAGTTGTCACCTCTGGTACTGTGTCATCCTAAATAATGTGTTCACATTTTCATAGATTGTTACTGCACATTCACAAGTCTCTATACCACTGAACCAATGCTGTAACTTTGTTACACTGCATCTATATAGAAAATTGGTAAAGGGAAAGCTGTGATCAATACATATATATGAAAATATCCAGTTGGTTCATTTAAGAGTGTCCCACACTTTTGATGGCTGGAGTGTTCTATCGTAACGCTCCCTTAATCGCCATGTAAGCTCTTGGGTGAGACCTGAAAAATGCTAGAAAAACTCAGGGCCAAAGGGGCAAAATTATTTTGAAAATTCCTCTTTCACACGATCAGGTGATTGTTGACGATATAGGAGATCATTTGGACCTTATACTACCTCTTATTCCACATCTCTCTATGTGTTACAGTCTCTGCTCTCGTTAAGAACTTAACCAGCATGAAACAACCAATGTATTATTTCTTTAAAAACGGAAAGAACTGCAGATGCTGTGAATCAGGAACAAAAACAAAGTTGCTGGAAAAGCTCAGCAGGTCTGGCAGCATCTGTGAAGGAAAAAAATCAGTGTTAACGTTTCGGGTCCGGTGACCCTTCCTCAGAACTGATGAACTGACCAGTTCTGAGGAAGGGTCACTGGACACGAAACGTTAAGTCTATTATCTTTTTAAGTTCAATTTGTGTTCCATGTATCATCTATCAAATTGAAGGATGACTCTGCACGATTTTGATAATGGCATATAATCTATTTGAACTTAGCGATAGTGGCTCATTCAGTAAGAAGTGTAGGAGAGAGCACAAGGAGTAGTATCAGGCATATCTAAACATGAGGTGCCCAACCTGTTAACATTACAACAGATGCATACATGAGAAGCGTGCTACAGACCAAATTAAACAATCTCTCAACCATTGGATTCAATCAAAGCTCTGCAGTCCTGCCTTATCCAGTTATGAATGGTAGTGGACAAATACACAGGAGGAGGAAATTCTGAAAATATTTCCATTCTGGGGAAGCTCAGCAAGAAAGAGGGAGGTTTTCTGCTCTATCAACGAACATCCCTTTTGTTGTTCCTGTTTCCTAGTCTCTTTTGCTTGTTTAAAATCTATAACATGTCTACAAGGACTCTTACCAATTTTTAGAGATGCACCATAGAAAGTATCCTATCTGGACACATCACAGCATGGTTTGGCAACTGCTCTTCCCAAGACCGCAAGAAACTACAGACAGTGGTAAACACAGCCCAACTTTTTTTCCTTTATTCATTCTCAGGATGTGGGCATTGCTGGCTAGGCAGCATTTATTGCCCATCCCTAATTGCACAGAGGGCAGTTAAGAGTCAATCACATTGCTGTGGGACTGGAGTCACATGTAGGCCAGACCAGATAAGGAATACAGTTTCCTTCCTTGAAGGACATTAGTGAACCAGATGGGTTTTTCCAACAATGGATTCACGGTCATCATTAGATTCTTAATTCCAGATATTTATTGAATTCAAATCCCACCATCTGCCATGGCAAGATTTGAATCCAGTCCCCAGAATGTTATCTGGGTCTCTGGATTAACAGTCCAGTGATAATACCATTAGGCCATCACCTCCGCTTCATCACACAAAGCAGCCTTCTATCCATCCATTCCTTCTATATTTCCTGTTAATTCTGATCTCTTTCTCTCTGCACCTTCTCTCCAGGTGTTACACTGTATTCTGCGCTCTGTTCTGCTTCCCTGATGCATTTTGTATGCCACCATCTGTCTGTATAGCACACAAACAACACTTTTCACTGTATCTGGGTACATGTAACAGCGATCAATAAATGTTTTTATCTCTCCTCCATTTTGACATGAAACGTTAACCCCTTGTTTATCTCTTCACAAATACTGCCAGCATCACTTCGTAATCCCTTTACTTCAGATTTTCAGTATCTGCAATATATTGCTTTTATTTTAATAAAATGTGTTGCGGAATTCAATTACGGGTCAGACTATTTTAATAATGTTTATTTTATGAGGAAATGATATGCACCTATTAATTGCTCGTATTTATTTTGAGTTATACGTTCAGTCTTGTTCGTAAATTAAATGTAATTACAATTGGTCGAACCACAAGCGTACTTCTGATGTAATAAACCGCAAGTGTGAACTGCCAGTGACTTGGCTTAGTCTCATGCATAACTATTTATTATCGTCTAGAATTTCTTTTTTAAAATCTTTCAGGATTTGCCCAAATGTATGTTGAACGCATTAGCAATTTGATATCGGAGAAGGATACATGTTGCACATTGTACCACTTAATGTAAAGCGTCCCTACTTCACAAGGGTTGGGAATAAAATTGCATAATAAAATATATCTAAAAGTAACTGATGAAAGGTCATTGGATTCGAAACGCTGACTTTGCTTTTCGGCACAAATGCTGAGTTTCTACAGCAATCTCTGTCTTTTGAATAAAACTGCACAAAATTACAAATATGTACGTGCACACCCACAAAGAAAACAATGTATCGAATTTAGAGTCCTGGAGTCATTTGAATTCGCTGGAGATGGTTTGATTTTAAATTTCTTAGCGATTAGTATTACGCCCGTGCATTTCTTTAAAAAAAAAGAGAAATTGTTACAGTTCATGTCCGCTCGCCTCCAACAAAACGACGCAGCTGGAATGGGACAGTGAGTAAGTGAGTGGAGTGCAATGCACTGGCCCGTCTGTCCGCTCCGCTCCTGCGCTCTTTCTGCATTTGGCCCGGCGCGCGGACCGTGGTGGGGTGCCGCCCAGGCCGCGCGTGCGCACGGTGGTCCCTGCGGACGGTGATCAGAATGGCCCGGGATCGCTGACTGACGCCTGGAGCTGGAGCCTGGGCCGGGGAGAATGAAGCGGACACGGTCCACTCAGGGAACCTTGGCGACAAGCGCGGGGCGTCGTGCGTTTCTTCCAGCGGTGACTGTGCAATGTGCGTAACTAACGTTCGTGCATTGTTTTGCCCGACCAAGACTTGACTCAACTGGGAGGAGACTTGATTCATCGAGCGGCGAAAGCGGAGTGAAGTTGGAGCGGTGCCGTGTGAGGGAATGATCCAGGGATGTCTGTGACCTCTCGCCTCGGCCGTCGGATCGATCATTTCTCTTTTTCCTGCTCCGCGTCCCGTCTGCGGCTGCCATGCTGAAGAATGTGAAAGTCGCCAGGACTCGCACTTGATTTGAAATATTATTTAATACTGTAACGAAAAATAAAAACGGGGAGGTGGGGGGAAAGAAGTAGAATCTGTGTTTTGAGGTCCTCGAGTCGCCGCCGGGTTGGAACTGAGGCCGATGCGGAGTTTTGTGTCCAAAAGCCATGCAGCAACCTTATGATTTCTTCAGTGAAGAGAACAGTCTGAAATGGCGGGGGTTGTTTGTACCAGCTTTACGCAAGGTAATGCATCTTTTATAGTTTAAGTAGATATTGTCTAGTTTTCGGAAGGCGATAATAATGATAAAGTCGAGTACAGCTTGTACACCTCAGATTGGGTTGGCATCAGTGTGATCAATGTCTGAATTTGTAGCAGGTACAAAGGAAGTATTTACATATGAGATTGAATTATGTATTATATTTTGGCTGCACAGGGTAGGTTATTGTTGTTCCACAACAGTATTTAATATTTCTTCATCAAATTGATTCGGGCTTCTTTCGACGTACGTGAATAGTCAAACGAAGTCATTTATTATTATTAATTGTTGAGGATTTCTAAGAAAATGACGTAGATTTAGAGCAAAAAGTTGAATTACTACATAAATTAAGAGCAATACGCATTAGAGAAGTTGGGTTTCATTTGACTTCTGATGTAAATCAAAGGAATACAGATGATTGGTTTACTTTTTTAATATTTGAACTTGATCTTCCGCGCGAAGTATTACAGGTCGAGCAACCTTGACTTTTAGACTTGCTGTACATACTGAATTTAATCTCCGAAGTAATCTGGTTTTGCAGTTTTAAACATTGTAGCGTAGATACACCGTCTGTTTAGTTTTAAATTAATTTAAATACATGCAACAACAATTTTAAAGTGCGGTATGTTGTGGACAAGACTAGTGTAAGGCAGATCACTTGAACCTAGATTGGCAGGAAATCATAACTCTTCATTAACATTACAGTAGCACTTTATCAAAAAATGTTGAACAAGTTGACAGGCATTTAGTTTGGCCACTTGAGATAAAGAAATAAATGTTTACTTTCAAATTTGATAAGAAACCTTTTATCATTGCTGTGCTGAAGTATTTTGTAGCAAAAATAATGAGCTTTATATGGTGTATTTTTTTTCTCAATATAATCTTGACTAAAAGTATCCATCTTAATTTGTTTTAGTTTAAAAGACACTTTGATTTACTGCATTGTATTTTTGTACTGGTAAAATGAGCAACAGGTATTCCAGAGTGGCTGAAGACCACATCACAGGGATACTTAATAGAATTGCAATATTGTTACTGACCATACATACATACTGTAACAGCGGCAGCTTTATTGTAGATTGTGCCTTGGAAAGCAACCTTTATGATTGTCTGAGTATTTAAAAAAAATTCAAATTGTACATGTAAATCTTAATCTATCCCTTGAGTGTTTGCAGCTTACTGCGTAAGACAGGATTGATATTTAATTGCCTATTAAACTAAAACTATACCTTTTTGGGATTATACTGCAGCATTTTATAAGATCACTTTCTTTAAACATAGATGTGTCCAAACTATCTCTTGAGCAAAAATTGCCATATTGACCCTTATTGACAAGTGATATTTTTATTAAAAAAGTTTGAATAGTTAAGAGATTATTTGAATTTTGCGGGTGTACAAAAAAAAATTGGTTGATACAAGTTTATTGATATTTGTATGACATCCCCAAAAGGAATACAAAATTCATTTTTCATCTTTACTGGTCATTTATAGATTGAGTAAATGTTTGAAGGTACAATTTAAAGCTATTTTTGTGTTGAATTATGTAAGAATGTAAATTTCAATGTTTTCAGTGTTTGCGCAAATTATTTTTCTTACATAACTCCAGTGGAATGTCTTAAAATATAACTTAAGCAGCATTCCATCAAATAACTGTGTATTGCATGCATTCATGAGAACTTCCTCATGAAGGAAATCTGATATGCAATCATCATTATGGCATGCATTTTAATGAAGTGCATTCCAAATATGGCTGTGCAATTTTGTTTAATTTGCTTGGTTGATTAGAACTAAAATATGCCATGCATATAAATACTGATCTTGCTGCTGGAAATACTATAATAAATCTTTGTCTCCAAAACAAAGACAGAAGTTGCTGAAAAAGCTCAGCAGGTCTGGCAGCTTCTGTGAAGAAAAAAATCAGAGTTAAAGTTTCCGGTCCAGTGACCCTTCCTCAGAATTGGAGGAACTGAAAGAATGGGATGGAGTCCAGTTCTGAGGAAGGGTCACTGGTCCTGAAATGTTAACTCTGACTTTTTGCTTCACAGATGCTGCTGGACCCACTGGGTTATTCCAGCAACTTATGTCTTTGTTCCTGATTTACAGCACCTGCAGTTCTTTTGGTTTTTACATCTTTGTCTCCATTGTTTAATGACCATAGATGTCCATGCATACCTTAGGTCCTAGACGTGTTTTGATATTAAGAGTGTATGATATAAATGTAGGGTTGACTGATAACAATTTTTTTTTTATATTTGCTTAAACTAAGTACTTGCCCAGTGGACTGTTCACACTGGGCTGCAGTTACACTGCACCTCATGCAAAACTCAAAAAGTAGAAAATTACATCCAAAAATTATACTATTGATATTGGCTTGATTCCTGTATTTAATATTGAGGTTTCAATTTATACAACATCCTTTTGTGAGGATAGCCCAAAACACTTTGTAGCTGATTATGTTCTTTTGAAGTGTGGTCACTGTTGTTATTGGAAAGTTTCAACATTCTCGTTACTTGGAATGTGATGTTTAGAAATACAAGAATAATGTTGCTAATACAAGATGGAGTTGTAATTTCTGGTATAAAGTGTTCAGTTCAATATTTTTATTGACCGAAAGTGAAACTGTTGGCTGCTGTAAACATCAGTACCTGTGTTCCTCCAAATTCATTTTCTTATTTTGATAGGAATTTTTTAAAAGAGAAAATACTTCCTTGTATTGCAAATGGAAAATGGGGGCAGTTAAAATAGGTTGATCAGTATCTGTTTGCAGAATGTACTCAATTTCATTTGGTTTAGTCAGTTGCTGTGTTCTCTCGGACTGTAGTTACATTGCAACAATCGCAGACATGAAGTGTAAAGAATGGCATATAGCTGATAAGACTCCTGTTGCATTGGTTGTGAATCATAGCTCCCTGTCATAAGATGTCTGTTGAATTTTTAATATTTCAAGAGTGCTGAATCGAACATTTTATGAAATAAAATTTATTATTTGACCATATTTTAGTTGTATTTAATTATTTCTCCTCTCTTTTAATAAAGAAATTCTGTTTCCAGATATATTAGTGTCAGATTTTTACTAATGCCATTTGTGCATTGCCACTGCCTGCAGGAACTGAGGATGTAGTAACACCCTCTGTCTTTTCTTATTTTACATGGGGAAGTACATTGCTTTTTGCTTTCAACTTTCCACTTTGCCAGCACCATCCAATTCAGATTGATATATGATAAATAACTGCAAATCTGTTTTATTACCTTTAAACCAATTAATGCAAATAATGATCTGCATATTAATACTACTGAATGATGAAGGCCAGAGGGTTTAAGTTTGATTTATTATGCATCGGCTGATCTTAGGATAACAATGTAATGTCCACAGCTAACATCACTGTATGTAAGAGGAAAAGGCTGCAGGCCTGAACAACGATCTGCAGTGCTGAAGACTTGTGTATTAGACCTGACTACTTTACTAACCAAGGTGCTCTGATATAGTACAGCTTTGGCATTTACCCTAGCAATGTTCAAGATTACCCAAGTATATCCGATCCTTGCACAATAGAACAACTCTAACCTGGCTAATTTCTAGCCTAGGATAACAAGGTGTAGAGCTGGATGACCACAGCAGGCCAAGCAGCATCAGAGGAGCAGGAAGGCTGACGTTTC